ATTGTATTGTTGATTTCCAATTTTATACCATTATGATCCAATAAAATTCATGATAATATCTCTACTCCTTTATATTTGCTAAGAGTTGCCCTATGGCATAATATATGGTCTATTTTTGAGAAGGATCCATGTGCTGCTGAGAAAAAAGTGTATCCGCTTGATGTTGGTTGATATATTCTATATATGTCAATTAAGTCTAAGTTATTAATTGTTATTGAGTTCTATAGTTTCTTTATTCAACTTTTGTTTGGAAGATCTGTCCAGTGGTGAGAGAGGTGTATTAAAGTCATCCATGATTATTGTGTTGTGGTCTATTTGTCTCTTGAACTTTAGAAGAGTTTGTTTGATGAACATAGCTGCACCATTGTTTGGGGCATATATATTAATGATTGTTATGTCTTGTTGGTGAATGGTTTCACTTAGCAGTATATGGTGTCATCCTTTATCCCTTTTGATTAACTTTGGCTTGAAGTCTATTTTATTTGATATGAATATGGACACCCCTGCTTGCTTCTGAGGTCCACGTGACTGGTATGATTTTTCCCAACCTTTCACCTTCAGTCTGTGTATGTCTTTTCCTATCAGATGAGTCTCCTATAGGCAGCATATTGTTAGATCTTTTCTTTTAATCCAGTCTACTAGCCTATGTATTTTGGATTGGTGAGTTTAAGCCATTAACATTTAGGGTTACTATTGAGATATGGTTTGCACTTCCAGTCATGTTTGTTTATTTTTGTTATTTAATTTGTTTTTTCTCTTTGATTAGTTTTTCCTTTTACTGTACTATTTCTCACTGTTGATTTTTGTTGTTGTTTTTCATTTCCTCTTCATGTAATGTTTTGCCCAGGATGATTTCAAGTACCGGTTTTCTAGCTACAAATTCTTTTAACTTTTGTTTATCATGAAAGGTTTTTTATTTTATCATCAAACCTGAAGCTTAATTTTGCTGGATACAAGATTCTTGGTTGGAACCCATTATCTTTCAGCATTTGAAATACATTATTCCAGGATCTTCTAGCTTTTAGAGTCTGTTGAAAAATCAGCTGTTAACCTAATTGGTTCACCTCTAAATGTAATCTGCTTCCTTCTCTTGTGGCTTTTAAAATTCTCTCCTTGTTCTGTATGTTGGACATTTTCATTATAATGTGTCTTGGTGTGGATCTCTTGTGGTTTTGTTCATTCGGCATCCTGTAGGCTTCTAGGATTTGAATTTCTGTTTCATTCATTATGTCTGGAAAGTTTTCTAAAATTATTTCATTGAACAGATTACTCATTCCTTTGGTTTGGACCTCTGTACCTTCCTCTATCCCAATAATTCTTAAATTTGGTCTCTTTATGTTATCCCAAATTTCTTGGATGTTCTGCTCATGATTTCTTTCTGAGCTGTCTAGACTCTTTTTGAGATGATATACTTTGTCTTCATTGTCTGATGTTCTGACTTCTAATTGTTCCACTCTGCTGGTGATACTCTCATTTGAGTTTTTAATTTGGTTTATAATTTCCTTCATTTCTAAGATTTCTATTTTTTTTGTATACCCTCTATCTCCCTGTAGGGTTGATCTTTTGCTTCTTGGGTTTTTTTTATGTAATTCAAAGTCAAAGTGATCTTTCATTGTCTGCATTTGCTGTCTAAGATCTTTCTTGACACTCCAGATCATCTGAAGCATGTATATTTTGAAATCTTTATCTCACATTCTTTCTGCTGTAGCTAATAACTCCTCTATTGTTGAGTTGTCCTGCATAGTTTGTGTTCCTTTTTCCTTGTTTTTTTTTTTTCATGTTGCTCATGTTTCCTTCTAGCTCTGTGTGACTGCTGTGTTATTATTTTCTCCTATAGATTTGTATTGGTTTTGTATAGTTCTGAGATTTCTCCTTTGTGATGGGAGACAATATCTGGAGATGTTGGATTGAATTGTAATTTAAAATAAATTCATTAGCTTCATAAAAGGCATACAGATTCTGATGGCATACAGAGAACTGAGGGTCAGGTGTAGGACTTTATGTTTAGGGGGAAAGATGTGAGGATATGGGGGTTAATATATCTTAGCAACTTTGGACAAGAGCTCTAATGAAGGGGGTTATTAACAGGAGAATAGACAGGAGGTATTGTGGGGTAGCTAAGTACTTGGGGGGACAATAAGAAGCATAAAACATTCACCTATTTGCATTTAGTAAATTAAATGTAGTAGAAATAGTAACGCTTGTGAGGTTGGGATAGGAAGAAAAGGAAGAAATAAAGTAAAAAGAAAAGAAGAAGAAGAAAGTAAAAAATGAAAAGATGGGGAAGAGATATCAAAAAAGGAATGAAAAAAGAGAGAGGAAAAAAAGAAGAAAAAGATAAGAAGAAAAAACGAAAGAGGGGAAAATAAAGAAAAATAATGCACTATTAGAATTCTGTTTTCTTTTCTTCCAGTGGGTGGCATTGTGCATGCCAGGTTGAGTCTCTGCCCTTAGGGTGTAGGAAACAATCCTTGTGAGGCAGCTCTCCCTCCCCTGCCAGGTGCCTCTCCAATCCAGATCTCTTTGGGTTGCTCCCAGTCTCTATTCCCCTCACTTCTCTTGCCCACCAGGCCCCAATTACTGGGATTCTTCTCCACAGCTCTCGGTTCACTCTGGGCATGTGGCACCCTGGCTTCCCTGCACTCTTGATCAACTGAGCATTATCTCTGTGTTGGGTAGTCACCAAGACATTACAGCTGTGGAGAGGGGGAGTTGGAGACTGACAACCTGGTCTGTCTTATTCCCTCTGATAGCCATGCCAACCGAGAGCTGGTGAGAAAGGTTTTGGGTTATCACAGCTAGGTGGGGGGGGGCTGACTCACACACCTGTTCCAATGCCAATCTTGCTGCCTGTTACAACCACTCAAAGCTGATGAAGCAGACTTTCCAAGATGGCAGCCACCTGTTTCTGTGCCGTGGTGTCCAGTGAGGAGAAGGGAACTGGGCTGTTTCTCCACTAAGTCCAGACTTCAGTCTACTCTGTCTGGTACCCTGCAGAGATATGGGTCGAAGTCTAGCACTCCCTATCTCCAAAGGATCTGAAACTCTGAGTCTCTATGCTGCCAGAACTCCGCAATGTTCAATTGTGCCCCTCTACGGTGGGTTCCTGGGCTGTGCCTTATTTGTAATTTTCATTGTAGAGTTTTTTTTCACTTCCTTTGTTTTTTTTTTTAATCAAGTCACAGTTAAATCTGTRGTGGTGAATTTGGATGCATTTTACTAAATGAAGTTTATTGTTCATCTCATTATAATTTTATTTGTATATATTTCCACCATTTTAGTCAGCTTTTTCATCATTTTGATGAAAAATAATGACAAAAACAATTTAGAGCAGGAAAAGTTTACTTGGCTCATAGTTTCAGAGGTTCAGTCCATGGTCAGCTGACTTCGTAGCTCTGGGCTCAAGATGAGGCAGAAGGATGTGATAGAGGAAAGCACCTCAGGGCACAGCACCAGGAAAGCAGACAGAACCCCACTCACCATGAACAAAATATAAATATCCCCAAGGCTCACCCCCAGTGACCCATGTACTCCACTCACATTCCACCTGCCCAGTTAACACCCAGCTGATTCATATCAATGAATTAATCCTCTGTTTCTGTTACAACTCTCACAATGAAACCAACCATTTCACCCCCTCAACATTCCTGAATTATCTCACAAACTAGCTTTCGGAGGAATATTGACTGTCTAAGTATAACACCCACAAAAAGGAAAAACTTTGTCCTATTTTTATTTCTTTACACTTAAAATGACAGGATTGACAATAATGTTGGTCAACATTTGAATTCATTAATGAGTTATTGATGAATATATGCTTCATAAAAATATCCCAGAATTTCAAAAGAGGGTAGATTTGAAAAAATAAATTAAATTTAAGGCTATTGGATATGATGGACACTACTTCCCAAGGTGGGAAAATTAATGTCCCCTTCTCACTATGAAATGAAAAAATAGATTTCATTTATCAACTTAGCCTTTTGTTTGTGTTACTTCAGATTTAGTTTAAAATTTAAAAAAAANCCCCCACTACTGTAATTCATTCCTTCCCCTTGTATTATTTTTCCCTTTCCCCTCACTTCCTCTTGTATGTAATTTTGTATAACCCTGAGGGTCTCCTTCCATTTCCATAAAAAAGAAAACTATGGACTGGGAATCAGTATAAGAGAAGAAAAGTATTAACCATTCAGGGTCCACTGAGGGGTAAGAGGATCCTTGTGGATTTTGAACAATGTTGCTGCTGTGCCCTATGAATTTTGTGGGGTGAGAGGAATTATTCTTCCATGAGATGCTGCATGGCACTACTCCATGGTACTCGCTGCCCTGTGTGTTAATGATAGCTGTGGCCTCAACTACAAAGAGTGTTAAGATAATCTATACTCCCATAAAAATATAGACTTACAGTATTCATCGCTGGCTTACTTTATCTGAATTTCTGTGGCATGAGCCTTGCTAAGTGCCCCTGGAGAAATCAGTTGGGTAATGGTGCAATTGGGGGAGGAATTTCAGTAACTGGGTATTTCCCTGTTTTCTTATAGAGTGCTCTTGGATAAATGGTGATATTGGTATGTGTACTTAGGAAATTAAGGTGAACTGAGGGCTGATAAGTTGTTCAAGCTTCAGACAAAACAAAGGTTCAAATTTAGGTCTTCTGTTTATTAATCATGGTATACTACAAATGAGTTTTGTAACTCTCTAACTTTATTTACTTTAAATGTAAAACAGGACAAACAAGTCTTCTAAAAGAATCGATGTGAGAATTAATTACATCATAGGTATCCATTGCCTGAGCCAGGCACATCAAAGACCATCCAAAAGTAACATCTATAATTACCATCATATCTGTAAGCAAAACTTAGAAATATTTGAAGGTTCATATGGCAGAATAAACATAACAAATACAATAAGAATAATCTGAATAACAGTATGAATCATTCAAAATATGTAGGTCAAGTACTTATTTCTTTGGCTAACATTTCTATTTTCTTTCCCGTTTCCAGTTGTCAAAAGTCTATGGCCCTGTGTTCACCCTGTATTTGGGCAAAAAGCCCACTGTGGTGTTGCACGGATATGAAGCTGTGAAGGAAGCCCTGATTGATCGTGGGGAAGAGTTTTCTGGAAGAGGCAGTTTCCCAGTGGTAGATAGAACAAGTACAGGTCTTGGTAAGGGTGCATGTGCGTGGGATAGTGGGCATGTGGAACACAGAAAAAAGAAAAAAAAAAGAGAGGGAGAGAGGGTGGAGGGAGAGAGAGAGAGAGAGAGAGAGAGAGAGAGAGAGAGAGAGAGAGAGAGATGATCTCCTAAGGCTAAGTTTGGCCATCTTTGTGGCTGACACTTTTAGCTTCCTCTGCCTCACCTGGGATCTCACTCTTGGTTTTCTGTTCCCTCTCTTTTAGGAATCATTTTAAGTAATGGAAACAGATGGAAACAGATGAGACGCTTCTCAGTCGCGACCCTGCGGAGTTTTGGGATGGGGAAGAGTAACATTGAGGAATGTGTTCAAGAGGAAGCTCGCTGCCTTGTGGAGGAGTTGAGGAAAACCAAGTGTGAGTGATTGATGATCACTGCCTTTACCAGACTATCTTCTCCCTAGTAAGGCCCGTTGATCCATTCCACACAGAGACATTTGTTCTGGGTCCTGTCTGTCAGCCCTCATGTGGAGGAGGGGTGATTAAAAGCAGAGATGGAGATTTTGTGTATCTGTGCTGCCTGTKCGTGGACTGGGCATGCATGGTGGGTGTAAAAGGTCACAGCATCTTACTCTAACTTTTTTTCTGTTTTCAAATCAGTGCATCATGATGATACAAGGTTTCATTTTCTTAAAGAGTTAAAGAGGAGATTTTATCCATGACACAATTGTGAGCTTCCCATTCCACAACTTTCACCATTGTCCATTGGACACAGTGGAAACACCCACCTTAGATCCTATGGAGATGAAGCAAGTGTTGTGTGTGATTAATGGGACTGTGTTTATGCAGACAACCTTACTGACTGACATCTCTCAGGGTTTCTTCCAAGGCTGGTGTCTGCAATTTCCACCAGTAATTACACTAATATAGGGTTTCATATTGACTTGCATATCTCCTGGAAAGTCTCATTAATCTTCATTATGGCAATTATTTACCTCTCCCTGTCCTCTACTGATCTGTGAAGTGTTTTTTTTTTATATTGTCTCTGATTTTTAGATTGGATCCAGATGGCTCTGTTTATAAATTTCTCTTCCAAACATAACAAAAGGAAAGACTGAAAATTAGACTTTGCTAGTGAATGACAGACACAAATTCCAGACTTCCCAAATTGTCTTCCAATTCCTTAGCTAAAATAAAGCTTTTTTTCTGAAAGCTTGGAACTCTGTAATAATTAAAGGAGTCTGGTAAAGGTGTAGGTAACTCTACAGGTTTGCTATTTTCCCATGCTGTATTCTTTGCTTACATCGTTTTTTAAAAGTTTATTAATTTTTAAATATTATTTTATTATGAACATGTAGTTTGTATATGTTGTTGGTGGTCAGTATGATACTCCCACGCATGCATACGGCATAAACTGATCAAATCCATCCTTTCTTTATCTACTCTCCATAGCACCACCACATACTCTTCTCCATCTCTAGTAATCACTATTTTAACTTCAGATTAATTTTTTTAATCTCCACAAATGAGAGACAGTGAATACTTACCTTTCTGTGTCTGTCTTCTTTCACTTACCATAATGCCCTCTAGTTCTGTCCAGTTGGCTACAAATGATTTAGTTCTTCTTTATGGCAAAATATGATTTCCTTGTATATTTAGTCAGTATTTTCACCACTGTGACCAAAAGACTTGATAAAAACAACTTTAAGGAGGAAAAGTTTATTTCGGGGCTCATGGTTTCAGAGGTCTCAGTGCATAGATGGCCAACTCTATTCCTTAAGGCCTGAGATGAGGCAGAACATCATAGTGGAAGTGTGTGGCAGAGGAAAGCATCTGGGGTTATGACACCAGGAAGGGGAGAGGAGTGKAGGAAAGCCTTAATAAACAAGGACAAAATATAAAACCCAAATCCATACTCCCCGAGACTCACCTCCTCCAGCCACACCCTGCCTGCCTAGAGTTATAGTTAATAGTCTTGGGGTGTTGGGTTTGTTGCGTCTGTTCAGCAAAGAATTGAAGAACAGGACACAGGGATAGGAAGCAAGAAGTAGATTTATTGAAAAAATAAAAGTGTGTTTATTGAAGAGAGACAGAGATGCAAAGATAGACTTCTCTGAGGAGAAGGGACCCAGAACTGGGAATTTTGGCCTGTATAAAACTGGTGAATTGTGGCCTGTTCTTTTTATGGTCTCTGGAATTTTCTTCTTTCCTTATCTCCTCCCCTGTCCACATGCTCCTCCCTATTATTGATTGGTGCCCTCTCTGTCCATGCATCTGATTTAGTTTTTCTATTGGATCCCTACCTTAGGATCATGAGTATGGAAGTGTCTGTCTGATTGGGTTCCCCGCTTGTGTCCATGAGCCCTTTTGTCAACCAAGAAGTTGACTTTATCAGAAGACCCCCCTCCTTGCCCCTTTGTTCTGGCCCTACCTGCAACCTCCTCACTTGCCAACTTGCCCTGGCTGCCTAAGCCCTTCTGTATCTCCATCATTACCACCAAGTTAATGGCTCTCAGGGCATTAGTGCATTAGGGCATTAGTTGTATGTTGTGTAAGGTGAAAGATAAGGGTCAAGTTTCAATCTTTTGCACTTTTCCACTTATTGAAGAAGCTCTCCTTTTATCCACTGGATGTTTTGGTAACTTTGTTGGGAATCGATTGGCTATAGATGAATATTTTTTGTGTGATCTCTATTCTCTAATACTGTTCTAGTTGCCTGTTTTTTTGCCAGTGTCATGTTTTTTTTTTTTGTTTTTTTTTGCTCACTGTGGCAGGAATTGTCCCACCTCCAGCTTTATTCCTACTATGATTTAGATATCAAAAACTCATGAATGGACAATNAGAAGGTAATAATTAAGTTTAAAGTTTCAAGAAATATGCTGACTTAGCATGTTGAATATTTTCCCAGTAAACAGATTGTAGATAGATATTGCTGAAAGTTTCTAAAATTACCTTTTCCTGTTAYCTCGAAGACATATACTTATATATTTTAATGTTAATTTTTAATGTTTCCAATTCTTTAGGCTCACCCTGTGATCCCACCCTTTACCTGGGCTGTGCTCCCTGCAATGTGATCTGCTCCATTGTTTTCCATAATCGTTTTGATTATAAAGATCAGCATTTGCTAAGTTTTTTGGAAAAATTTGATGAAAACCTCAAGATTCTGAGCTCACCATGGATCCAGGTTAGACCAAAATTTCTTTTTCCTGAGAAAACACTTATGGTCTTTCCTCAGGAAAATCAAAACTGCTAATGGTTCAAGCAATGAAATGAGTCTGTAAACTATGTCCAGTCCAGAGCTTGATGTTATGGAGTGAGAATCAGGAAGAGATGTTTAAGCCCTTTATTTTATGCACAGGAATATGAATGCCCACATATGGAGATGATATAAAAGTGCATTGGCTCTCTGGCAAATAACTCCCAAAGCCCAATCTTCATAAAGTACTTTGATGAATGAACAAAGACAGACCATGGCACTTAGTGGACATCCAGGCTTCTGAGAAGGACAGGAGCTGCCCTTCAATTACCACTTAGAAATTCCATTACTTTACTTGGAAGAAATGTCTTTGTTTAGGATATTAAGGAGGGAGAATTGAAGCTTGCACAGCTGTTACAGAAACTCTAAATAAAGAAGAGAACTTTGATGCTTCATTAGGATCCCAGCTGACAAGGTAATAGAGTCAATATAATAATTGGTTTTTACTCTGTACAATCCCTGAACAAACATAGTTTTACCCCATGCTGAACATGTTCTGCATTCTTCAAAATAGCTATTGTGAGATGCTCAGAAATCTCCTAATGACCTTTGTACACWATTGTATTTCATGGTATATTCAAAACCCTCCCTATTCTATAGAAAGTATTCTATTTCTGAGGCTACTTCATACTAGCAACAGCAGAGAACAGCATTGTGCTGTTTTTCAGGTTACCCAAATGCCTTTATACTRTTGTAAGTTCTGTCCTCATCTACAAAATATAAATTGTGGTAATTAATGCCAATTTGCATTTCCAAATTGCAGGGAAATTTTTGTTTGAAAAAGGAGAGAATTTGTAAAAACTTATTTTTATCTCTAAAAATGATGTATGAGTATATAAAATTACTATTATTTATGATTATCTAGTCAAAAGTTCTTTCCCTCAATTCTTATAAGCTTCGAGATTATTATATATTATATTATATTTCCCTCAAAGTGAACACTATTTAAAAAAATTTTAAAGGTACAGTTTCTAAAATGGACTAGGCATAAGATTTGTATATCTTTATTACATGTTCTCATTTAATGAATATTTTATCTTTTAGGTCTGCAATAATTTTCCTGCTCTCATTGATTATTGCCCAGGGAGTCATAAAATATTTCTTAAGAATATTGCCGATATGAAACAGTATTTTTTTGAGAAAATAAAGGAACACCAAGAATCCCTGGATATTAATAATCCTCGGGACTTCATCGACTGCTTCCTGATTAAAATGGAAGAGGTAGAATGTGAACAACAGCTCACTTATCTGATTGCTTCTACATTTCGTGTTTCATTACTTAATTCTATTGTTACTAGTGAGTTCAGTGGTCAGGCAAGACATTCTTGACAAGCACTTTAAGCACATCCTGCTTTATAKATCTGCATGAATTATCATAGAAAAATTAAAATATTATTTTTTTAAAAAATTAGAATACATGGATTCTCTTCTGTAGGTACTGATAATCTACCTCAGGAAATACATATGCATACCTAAGGTGAAAAGGAAACAATTGTAAGAGAGTTATAAAACAAAATTGGAGCTATRAAATGCAGACTGAAAAGAAGATTACTGTACTCAGTGTATGGGAGAACCAGAAGGAAATATTTCACCTAATTGATTTTCCTGCATGTTCTAAGATTTGAATAGATCTTGACATATATTCAATGAGGAATAGGGTAAAGACTTTCAGGTGGGTCAAATGGTCTATGCAGAGGTTCAGAAGTGTGTAATGGCAAAGTGATTAGGTGTATGGAAAAAAGAAAGCCTTAGTTGAGTATAAGTAAAATTAATTTATACAGAAAAGGAGATGTATTTTCAAGTAAGCTATAAGCATGGGTGTTCTCATGAAACATTTTGATTTGAGCAGGAATAAATGTGAGCCAGGAAAAATGGAATTCAGATAATTATTAGAAGAAATTCTTCAAATCCTACAGAATCATCCCTGTGATGATAATCCATTCAAGGAGCAGTTGGAAATTTTTTATGACTTCAATTTTGAGCTTAATGAGCATCTGACACAGCCATGAGATTTCTTTTTTTTTTAAACATCAGAAATTTATTAGTTGCTCAAAACATTACATTGATCTTGACATATATCATACATTTGTTTCAAATGGGGTATGAATTCTTATTATTCCCACGTATACAGATTGCAGGATCACATTGATTATACAGCCATGAGATTTCTTATCTTCTTATCTTCAGCATTTCTTAATTCAATCAAGCTGACAATTCAAATTAACCATTATAACATGATAAATAAGTTATAAGGCCAACATCTCAAGGAGTTGTATAGAAAATGACCCTTAAAGCATTATTCATGCAATTTGAACTGAACCTTCAAATCATGTGTTCTAGATGGAATACATGATGAAGATGAAATGATATGAAGAAATGAGAGGGGAAAAAGCAAATTACTAATAATCTTATCCTTCTCTTAACGCTAGAGCAATGATTCTTTTACTTTTTGGAGTCCTATTAATTTGAGAGTTGGATTAACACTTTCTGACAAGAATAAATCTACATCAGTTCTCCATATTTTCCTTAAATTTATAAAGGCTCTCATTAARTTCCTTAAAGTTTATAAAGGCTCTCATTAATCTCAGGTCAAAGAAGTGAATAAGATCTTTATTTTTTTCATTTCAAGTAACTATTTTTTGCAGTACTACATTTAAAACAACTTTGTTTTCTTGGTCTCTCTATTTTATATAGAAACTAGCATYTTTTTTCACAGTTTACTGAGACAGTCTACATATGTCATATTATTAACCTACTTGAGGCCTGAATTTGATTGTTTTTTTGTATTTTCAGAGTTGTGAAACTATTGTCATAATCTCAAMGATTTTTTAATCAACCTGGAGAAAAATCCCATACTTTTTATTAGTTATCCTCCATTTCTCTGCAAATATTTTAATCCTAGGCAGCCACTAATCATCTATTTTGTCTTTGTAAATCTTCCTGTTCTTGGTATTTCACATATGTGGTCTTCTGTGCTTGCTTGTATATATTTGATTATACTTACATCAAGATATTTCAAGGTTGGGAATTTGAATTTAAATGGTAATGTAGTTTTTAATTTCAAGCTTTTGAGATACATATAACATCTAAACCATAACAGTGGTGCATTAATCACTGCTTTTTTCTAATCCACACAAGCTCTAGACTCCTCCCCTCACACATTAGCCATACTCCTTATCCCAGTGCTCAAATCACCACTATTAAATGCAAATGTTCTTCACTATTCTTTGCTTTGCAGGCTGAAATTAAAAATCTGGCTGGTGCTTTGGCTGCCCTGAGTTTTCCCCAAATCTGCTTTTTTTTCTCTCCTCCATATTCAGACTGAGTCACAGCATGTGCACTAAATGACTAACTTGTCTTGGGTATTCCAAAAGCACAGGTACCAGGAACCTGTCAAACAGGTAAAAGAAGGGAAAGGGAAAAGGTGGGGGGGATGGGAAGTAAAATATGAAAGATAAAAGGAAACGTCAGGGATTTTTAGTTTGCCAGGTAAGAAAACCAAGGAGTCTTTTAAAGTTTTACAGCTTCTCCCCTTTAAATGTTTTTACTCTCTCATCTGAGGTTTCCTGGGGGGTTTTCTCCCATAATAGTTCAACTTCATGTTTCTGAGCTTCTTTTCTTCTTTTTTAAAATTTCTTTGAGAAATGTCTGTTTAGTTGATTTGCGAATATATTAATTGAGTTATTTGATTGTTTGGGTTTTTTTCCCTTTGAGTTCTTTATGTATTCTTGATATTAATCCCATCAGAAGAGTAGCTAGCAAAAGTTTCCCCCCTGCATTCTGTAGTCTTCATCATCATGTTCTTCTTTGCTATGTAGAAGCCATTTCACTTATTCATTCTTGATTTTGTTTCTTGAGCTTAGGATTCTAAGTAAGGAAGTTAATTCCTGTGTCATGTTGTTAGACTGTTGAAAGTATGTTTTCTTCTAGCAGTTGCAGAATTTCCAGTCAATTCCTAGGTCTTATTTCCATTTTGAATTCATTTTAATGTAGAGTGAGCATAAGGATCTAGTTTCTTTCTTTTACACTTGGATATCAAGTTTTTCCAGCACCATTGTTTTGAAAGGTTATCTTTTCTCCAAAGTATATTTTTATAAAGTTTGTCARGTATTAGATGACTGCATCTCTGTGGAACTTTTCCATGTCTTTTATTCTATTCCATTGGTCTTCATGTTTGTTTTTATGCTGATACCATATAGTTTTATTACTATTAATTTGTTGTACAATTTTAGATCAGTTATTGTGATGCCTCCAGAGTGCTCTTATATAGCTTAGGATTGCTTTGACTATTCTGGGTCTTTTGTGCATCATATGAATTTTAGGATTTTTTTGTTGTTGTTCTTTGATGAATGTCATTTGTATCTTGAAGGGGATTGGATTAGATCTGAAGATAAGTTTTGGTAACATGATCATTTTGATCATATCAGTTTGGCCTATCCAAAAATATGGGAGGTTTTTTTCCATCTTCTAAGGTCTTCCTTAATTTCTTTGCTCAATGTTTTATAATTTTCAGTGTAGAGATCTGTCACTTCCTCTATTAGATTTATTCCTAGGCATTTTGGGTTTTATAAGGCAATTATTAGTGGGATTGTTTTCCTGATTGCTTTCTCAGAAGATTCATAATTGGTGTATAGAAAGATTATTGATTTTTGTATGATGATCTTGCATCCCATTACACTTTCTGAATTTGTTAATCAGCTGGAGAAGTCTCCTGGTGGAACTCTACATGTCTTCTAAGTACAGTATCTTATCATCTGAGATTATTTTCTGCTCAAAATGTGATAGGGCTGGACAAAGGCATCTGCTTCCCTTAAACATGATGTGAGAAATTCTTTTGTCTCATTGAATGGGAACTTCCACTTCCCCACCAAGACACCACTTTTTGGACACTTCTGCTTTTATTARTTCTCTTTCTACTATAGAACCTATGGTTTTTAGTTTTGACCTTTTTGCTAGTTCTCTAGAATTTCCCTACAGTCTCTTCCCACCTGAATTTGCCTCTGTAGAACTGATGTTTTAATTTATGTTCARGGGATTGCAATGATAAGGTAGGTGCCTCTGATCTTCTATGTTCTTTATTTTCAGTACAACCATCTTAATAATAGTGAAGTGTTTTAATACATGACATGGATTCTGTTCCTACTTAGAAATCTAGATAAAGTTGTTTTAATCAGATTTTTTGCCACTGTGATAAAAAAGACCCAACCAGCACAATTGTAGAGGAGAAAACATTTATTTAGGGGCTCATCGTTTCAGAGGTCTCAGTCCATAGACAGCAGGCTCCATTCCTCAGGGCTCCATTTCCACCCTGCTTTACTTTCTCACCAACATCACRGTGGAAGAGTGTGGTGGAGTGACGCAGCCCACACAATGATGATTCAGAAGGAGAGAAAGAGACTCCACTCATCAGATTCAGAATATATACCCAAAGCCATACCTCCAATGCTCACCTCCTCCAGCCACACCGAATCCTCCTTCAGTTACTCAGTTAATCCATGTCAGAGAATTAATCCACTACTTGATTTAAAACTCTCACAACCCAATTATTTCTTTTCTAAACCTTTTTGCATTGTTTCACAGTGAGATATGGGGGAACACCTTGCATCTAAATCATAACTGGTTCCCAAAATCTCACAATTGTTTCACAATGCAATATATATTTTGTCCTTTTCCAAGAGTCCCCATAGTMTCAGTAGTTCCAAGACTGTTCAAAAGTTCAAGTTCAAAGTCTCCTCTGAGACTCAGGGCAAGTTTTGAGTGTTGTAAGCACCTGTAAAAATAAAAGGTGATTACAAGTATCCAATATATAAAGGTACCCAATAAACATTTCCATTCACAAAATTAGGGGCATAGAGAGAAGGGATAGGACCAAAGCAAGACTTTAAATACAGCCAGGAAAGCAAGTTCTGTAGCTCCACATCTGGAATCTGGGACATATGGAATCATGATGTTCTTTCCAAAAGGCTTGTGTAGATCCACTCTGTGGCCCTGTTGATTGCAGCTCAAGTGACCTTTATGTAGTCTTGTCTCTGCTCAATTTCTGCATTTTTCCAAGGATGATGTCCCACATTACTGGCATTTCTTAGTCTCAGAGGTCTCTACTGAAGTTAGCTTTCTCCTCAAATCTCCACTCATTGCCCTTTCAGGGGCTGTCCACAGGGACAGCCTGCTTCACTTTGCCTGGCCTCCCAGGCCTTCCTTTGAAATCTTGGTGGAAGTCTCCATGACTCCCTAATTCTAGCATCCTGCATTCCTGCAGAACCAGCATCACAGGGTTGATACCAAGGTCTGCCACCATCTTGAGCAGTAGCTGAGCATCAGGGACCCTGGCTGAAGCAGCCTTTGAGTACCTAGGTGACTGAGCATGTTGAAAAACCTTCTAGGCTCCCTTGTGCCTCTCTTATGTCTTCTCTAGAGAGTTTTTTCTTTTATTTCCTTGAGTCTGAGATGGATATGATCTTACCAATTCCTGAAATGCCCTCAAGCCATCTTTCTTATTGTCTCAGAGCAAAGTCCTTAGCATTTAGTGGTGTTAATGTCTTTAACACCTGCAACTTCCTTAGCCCCAGTTTTATCTAGGCTTTCAAGTCCAAGTTTTTCAAGTCTTTCTGCTCTGCTTTCTGCTCCTGATTAACATAATACACTTGGCTAAAAGCCACCAGCAATATCCAGGCCTCTGTCCAAATGCTATGCTGCCTAGAAATTTCTTCAACCAGATTAAGAAGTCCTTCACTTTTTAAAATTAGCTTCACAGGAAGTCTCAGGACAAGGACAAAATGCAGACAACTTCTCATCCAGAACATAACACGAATGGCCTCTAGTCCAATTACAAATAGTGTCCTCCGTTTCCTCTAAAACCTTTTGAAAAATGTCTTCAGTATCCACAGTCCTACTGGAATYCTGGTCTTCTGGGATCAAACCACAGTTGGCCCCTAAGCTCTGCTTACAACAGTCTATAGCATTTCCAGCTTGTACTGCCACACATCTCAAAATTTCTCCAACAAATTCCAAAAAACTCCAAAGTCTTTTGAACCTAACAGGTTATGTTAGTCACAGCAACGACCTCACTCTTGGTACCAATTTCTGTTTTAGTTTTTTTGAAATGCTACTTTTTCTAGGAAATGAACCTATTGAGTAAATGTTTGTCTAAATGTTGGTTGTGTCTTATTAGGCACTTTATAGTCTGCCTGGAGCAAACGGAAGCCCCATTAAATAAACTTTTGCCTATGGTCTGGTTATAAAACTTATTATTTTACATATAGTTCATGTATTATTGTTATTTCATATTTATATTATAAAATCTCTTTTAGTCAATATTTAAATAACTCTTGTTGATGTCATTTTTGTGCCAAATAATCCYCTCATCCTAAACCAACCCTATTTGTTCTTATCAAGTGCTTTCCTTTTACAGTGTCCAATGTATGAGAGCTCTATTTGATAGGTCTCTTATTCTCAGAATTTGCATGTTACCTACTCTTTTCTTAATCCTATGCACACAGTTAAGAATAAGCTCTCTGTTCTCATGTTTGTAATGCCATTTCAAACTGAACATTGGGAAGACTGTTAATTTAATGGTAAATTCATTGTTATAATTTTTTTATAAGTCAAGTTACATTTTACCTCACAATAAAAATACAGCAATTGTTAGGCCCATTTTTTCTTTTCAATTGATTCTCTATAATCTATTTTATTATGTTCTGATACATTAGCTTTTACACATTTTCAAGTTTACAATGAGTGTGTGGAAATCCTGGGACTAACTAAATTTCATATCAGTAGAAGAAAACTGCATATTTTTGGTTTACATTATTATATCTTCTATGATATGGGCCCAATTTACATATTTCTATCAATTATGATCATCTTTGTCTACAAATAAGAAAAACAATACTAGCATCTTAGAAATAGTGAATTTATTCTTCTTAAATAAAATGCAGTCTTATAATGGGCCAGAACAGAGTTAGTACAGGAGTCCATTAACATTTAGAGATTCAGATGCCTTACATTTTCCTTCACCATATGCTATAGTTTGGATGTGGGGTTGCTTTTTTTTTTTTGCATTCAAAAATAATACTGAAAGTTTTCTGTAAGTAACAGAACTAAGAGGGGCTGGGACAAAATAAACTTCTATTCTTTATAATTCACCCACTTTCTGGTAGTCTTTTATAGCACCAGAAAATGAACTAAAATGTCAACATAATATACCACCTTTTACCTTCATGCCTAAATCTTGCTATCACAAAATTATTATTGTCTTACCTATATCTTGCATTTATGTTTTAAATAAAAAGAAAGAAAGAGAAGTAGTGCCAACAAACATTTTATTCATAAGAAATATATTGCATAGCCTTCCTAGCTATAAACAGAATCCTTAGGGAACAAGGAGTAAAAGAGTAGGAAATGAACATTTGATCAACTCCTCTATAGTTTACCACAATACACAGTAACTTTTTATAATACTGTATTCTCCATGTTCTATTTTGGCTTAACTTTATAAGAATCTGAGTTACTTTGTATTTGTTATAATTAAATATCAAATTCATTGTTAAATAATGGCATTGAATTATTTCTAGGAAAAGTACAACCAAGAGACTGAATTTACCACTGAAGCCTTGATAACCACTGTGAATGATCTATTTGGAGCCGGGACAGAGACAGTAAGTTCCACTCTGAAATATGGAATCCTGCTCCTGTTGAAGTACCCAGAGATCACAGGTAAAAGCACAGAGTTGAAAATAAGATAGAAATCCAYTTCTTGAAATCAGATGCTCTTAGCTCTTTCTCTCTCCTGAAACTTAACAATCAGGTATAAGAATCCAGAAAATGCAGAGCTCCAAAGGGAAATATTTGAATGTACACCATCAAGGTAGAAAATTTATTCCAAGTGTCTGGATGAGTGAATAAAATCAAATCATCCACTCCAGAAAAGAGGATCTTGGAATTTTGGAATAATATGGTTAAAATCACATCAACTTTCAGAAATAAGTCAGGTCATATTTAAAGCATTATGAATGAGAATGGCATCAGAGTTCTTAAGAACAACTGCCATATTTTTGGTTAGAGAAAAGATAAGCGTCAAGCTTGGTGGTGGTGCATGCCTGTAATCCCAGTTACTCAGGAGGTTGAGGCTGGAGTATTGCAAGTTGAAAGTAAGCCTCGGCAACTTGTTATCTCAAAATAAAATTAAAAGGGCTCTGGGTGTGGTTCAGTAGTAGAAGGCTTCTATATTTGATCTCTGGGTGGGAGGACAGAGAGAGGAAAAAGAAAAGAGAGAATGAAGGAAAGGRAGGAAGGAAGGAAGGAAGAAAGAAAAGAAAATTTCAGATCCACATTTGCTAAACAAATTCATTCCCCTTTTCACTGACAAAGAAAAATACTGAAACATATGTTCCATTCAAATATTTGATACCAAGGCAGAGGACATCTCAGGTTTTAGAAATCAGACGACCTTATATATTATGATGGGAGTTTAGGGGAGTGTCTTGGGCACGAGACTTAGGAAATAAACCATTGTCTATATTAAGTAGATAAAGCAAGTGTAATAGAAAATAAGAAAAATTAAAGCGATAATCTGGAGTTTAAACATTTATAAAATTATTACTAGAAGTGTGAAACATTGACCTCAGCATTTGGATACAATATAAATAAGCAACTAGAAGATTAGGAATTGGTATACATTGGTATAAATTGTTCAAATATAAGTTAAACATGTGCAAAGAATGAAACATACATATAGTAAACAATAGTTATCAGGTCATAATGATATTGGTGATGAGAATCAGGGCCAAGTTTAGTGACTGTTGACCAAAAGGTGGGCCAAAATGTGAAATAATCCAAGGACATGACCAAAGCCATCCAGGGGTACAAGTTAGAAGGGAGTGGTACAGGGGACATTATTCATTAACAACTCCTTATAGGGAGGAAAAATTCCCTGGAGGCAGGTAACCTTGGGTGACAGGTGGAGGAGGAGGGAAAGGGGCTCTTGAGGTATTAGTAACCTATTTCCTCTTGAATAAGCCCCCATTTTTCTGACCCAATCATTCATTACCTACACTGATTGTCCTTTTGCCCCAGCCTAATAGTGTAAACAATGCATATTGATAGCTAGGAATTGTTATCAAAATATATAGGTGAAGCAGTAAGGAGGAAAAGTATGTAAGGTAGGTGTGTGTGTGTGTGTGTGTGTGTGTGTGTGTGTGTCTATTTGTGGTGTATATTTTGCATAAAGCAGAGATGAATCTTAATCTTCCTTACCAAGAAATCATTAAGAGTTTTCTAAAATTGGATAAATTAAGAAATATAAATAGATGATTACTTGGATATATAAATATTTCTAAAGATATTTCTAGAATGATTCAAAAGGCTATATCTAAAGAGTGGGAGATTGAAAAGGGTCCCATTGAAAATCACACACACACACACACACACACACACACACACACAAAGATATGCAATCTCATCTAGATTTTTTAGTAGAATTTAATTTTAAAATGTCATATATTGTTTTAGTATAAAATTAAAGTTTACTCTTGCTTTTTCTGAAATGACAATATTTCTTGCATTGATTATGTGGTAATTTCATATTTGAAACATTTAATCATACAATTTGTATCTGATATCATACATTAGGTTTGTAAAGATTTAGGTTGTATGGCTATGTCTTAATACCTAGCTTATAGGAGATTCATAAATATATATGACTCATATTGTATATGTTTGAATGAATATATCTATATCTATAGATATAGATATAGATATAGATATAGATAGATAGATAGATAGATAGATAACATGTCAATCTTTTTATACAGGTATATGTGGGGCATATAGCTCATGTTTTAATTCATTTGTAGATGCTCATAATACTATTTTTTTCTCCTTTACATCATCTTTTATTTGTATCTTATCAGCTAAAGTTCAGGAAGAGATTGACCATGTGATTGGCAGACACCGAAGCCCCTGCATGCAGGACAAGAGCCATATGCCCTACACAGAGGCTGTCGTGCATGAGATCCAGAGATACATTGACCTCCTGCCAACCAGTGGGCCCCGTGCAACGACCTGTGACATTAAATTCAGAAACTACTTCATCCCCAAGGTAAGACTAAGACTGTTCTCCCATGTTGCACTTCAGTGCTCCTGAAGTTCCCAAGTTTGCAGTATGATCCCAATTTTGTGCCAACACAAGATTGGAGAAGTACAAAACTCATCCACATAGCAGTTTGTTGGACTCAGTGCTGGGCCAGTTTGGGTCATCAAGCTCCATAACTGTTCCTGATATCTGGCAGTGTGAAATTTCCCAGTTTTTTCTGCTCCTTCAAGATTGTTTTGTCTACTCTCAGCTGTTTACATTTCCAAACAAATTTTAGTATCAGTTTGTTAATTTCCTAAAACACTCTCCTGGGATATTTTCAGCATGATATTAAATCTACAGAACAATTAGTAAAGAAGTGACATCTTCACATGTGGAATATTTCGGTTTATGCAGTATATTATTTGGACTTTATTTTTCCTGTATTGTTTTGTTTTCAATGGGGGCTTACACATTTTTGAAAGCTTTTTTTTAAAATTAGGTAATTAATATTTTAAAAGCTAACAAATTCACAATTTACGCAATGCCTTTTCCATTTTGTTGTTTTTGGCATGTGGACACATAGTTATAGTTTTTATTTTAATGACTTTATATCTAGAATTCTTGTTAAATTTATTCATCATGGCAATAATTTGTCTTTATATTCATTTGGAATTTCTTATGTATACTACTCTGCTAACTGGATTAGCACTTTTTTTATTTATTACTTTCAAATGATAGTGACCTTAATTTCTCTTTCTTACATTATTGCATTGCCTGGGATTTCCAAAAGTAATGAACAGAAGTGATATTGAGCTTATTTATTTATTTATTTATTATCTCTGGCAGGGGGTGAAAGTTTAACATCACACTATTTTATATGACGTTTTATGTACATTTTGGCAGATATTCTTTATTAGATGAGGAATGTTTGCTTTGTCTTGTTTTTGTTTGGTGTTTTCTTAAAATATGTAATTTTGTTTGTCACAGGGTACAATTTTATCAAATGGATTCTCTGCATCTGTTGATCATATATTGTCATATGCTTTGGTCTCCCTTTCTCCCCTAAATATGTAAGTATACTCACAAAAGGATTTGATCTTCTACTGTTTGTTAAGGACATTTGTATTCATATTTATGTCAGACTGTTCTCCTGTTTTTCTTCTTGAAATTTCCTTATTTCTGAAATCTATGTAATGCTGGCCACATAAAATGAGGGAGATCAGATTTCCTACCTTGGGCTAATTTTGTTGCCTTTCTATCCTCCCATTCTTCTTTTTGTGGCCTCTTTGTTCTGTCTTTGGAATGCCTAATGRTATTTGCCTATGTTTAGTTATATAATAAAAACTTCAGTTTCAAATGATATTCATCTTCTTCCAGAAAGAGTTTTTCCCTGCCCTCCTAGCTAAGTCAGAATGCTACACCACTTCCTGYCCTGACTCAAGAGTTGTTGACTAACACAGTTAAAAATTGCCTGTAGCCATCAGCCAAATGGGGAGCTTCCCCCAGCTGTGCAATATTGGAAACAACTTTTTATCTCAGCAGCTTTCCAATGACTCAAACATAAGATTTCTATATTTTTAAAAGACTTTCTAGTCAGTGTGCTCCAAGCTACTCCCTTATACTGGAGCCCAACACATATTACTAAGGAAAATTAAAAATGATATAACTAAATGTTTTATTTTTATTGTGGGAAKAATAATATGAATTTAGGAAAGTTAGAAATATTATTTTCATCTTCTGGAGAAAAGAGAATTGAAGACTTTCCCAAGAAATGACCTAATGATCTTGCAGTCTTCCTCAGCCTCCCAAGTCAATTCACTAAATTCAGCATAGAGCACGCAAGCAGATGATGTGATGCCTGGTCTCTGTGGAGTATAGAGAGCCCAGAACCCAAGGGAATGGCCTTTTTCTTTCTGCATGTGACAATTCAATACAGGAACCTTCAACATTCATAGCTGATTCTAATCATTCATTGTTTTTAATGGAGTCATTTGAATCCCTTAATAATTTAAGGGAGTCCATCACAGGATAGATTCCTGTGATTATGATAGACTTCTGCTGTTGCATGAAATTTCTACTATCACAGGATTGAGCCACCCAGCTAGGTGGGCATAATGCTATCAGACAAGTGGGCAAACTTCTTCTATAATGGACCAGATAGTRTCTAGTTAGTCTTTTACTCTATAGGGTCTGTCTTGCCACTTCTCAGCTCCACCACTGTGACGCAGAAGCAGTCGTTGTATGTAATGAGTGAAGATGGTGTGTTCCATTATTTGTGGATGGTGATTTTTTAAACTTTTGTAGGTCACAAATTTTCAATTAAAATTACTAGATAAGTTTATACAAGAACAGATGAGAGGACAGATTTGAGTGGGTTGTGGTTTGCTGATGATTGRCCTGAGTCAGCACGGTGGGGTGGACCTTTCTGAGTGACAGAAAAGCTGCACTTTCTGGGCTGCCCYACAAGATATCCCCTAGCCATATGTGCCTGTTGAGTAACTCCAATGCAATTAGTGCAAGTAAGGAACTGAATTTTAGTTTAATTATTYTATATTATGTCATATCAGTTTTACTTCCATTGTTCGAATTTCAATTTAGTTTAAATTAATTTAAATTTATATATGTGGCAAGAATTTATTGTGTTGCACAGCACAGATCTTAGGATTTTCCTAAACAGGATTATAGATACTTCATTTTGGTTGGGTGAGGGGTAATAAAATACCATTAGATAACAGTAATAAATCCTACGATTCTGCAGCACAATAGAAGAATTGTCCTTTACAACAATTAATTATATATCTTGTAAATAACCAAAAGAGAGGATTACAAATATTCCCAAAGAAATCATAAAATGGTGACAATGCTACTTGCCTGATTTGATCTTTATAAAATAAGAAGTTGCATAAACAAATCCAGGTCTATTTGACTTACATGCATAGAACAATTGTGAAGGAACATATTCTTGGGAAGGTTATATCACTAACTGGTAGGGACAGCTGTTCCTGGAAATTCCAAATTGTGTTCTGTGGTTAAATGAGATTTTTTTTTACCATATCTACTTTTGAGACAATGCATTGTTTTATTTTTAACTGTGTTCTAAATAAAGTGATGTAAAATAAAATTACTTTTTTTTTGGCAATGCTGAGGATCAAACCTATGGTCTTATTCATTCTAGGCAAGCACAATACCATTGTGTTACATTCCCAGCATGAAAATGCACTCTCTTAAGTGTATAGTCCCATGGATTTTTGACAAACACATACAGTGATGCAATCATACAACAATCGAGGTATAAACATGATTGGGTATGGTGGTGCACACTTGTGGTCTCTACTACTTAGGAGGGGATTGCTTCAACCTATGAGTTTGAGATAAGCCTAGGCTACATAGTGAGATACTGTCTCAAAAAATGTGTGTGTGTGTGTGTGTGTGTGTGTGTGTGTGTGTATAATATTTCCATCACCCTGTAAAGTTTCTTTGTCCTCCTATTACAACCAGTCACACTCCCTTTCTTCCAGCACATGGTCACCATAGATCTGTTTTCTGTACCTGTGATTTGGTTTATCAAATCATACAATGAAATTTGACATACAGAATTTATCAAATCTTTTATCTCTGGTTATTTTGACTTGATTTATTCTTTCTACAATACTATTTTTATATAAATCTTTTTAAATTACTTTATTGGTTTCACTGAGGTAAAATTCTGCATGCACATCACACAGTTTGGTCAATTTCATTGCCCAGTACCTCCCTTTACCCTTACCTTCTCCTTCCTCTTAGTGCCTTCCCTGTACCCTACTTGTCTCCCTTATATTTCATGTACCTTTCACTGTTTTATGTAGAAGAATATGTTTTAGATTCACCTTCATTTTCATGTATCAGTAGTTCATTCTCTTATTATTCAGTAGTATTTCCAGTCATGAATTACCAGAAATTATTTCTCCATTCATAGGACATACGTACTCTTGGTTRTTTCTAGTTTGGCGCTTTTAAATATAAGAAGTATGAACATTTGTGTGCAAACTTTAAGTTGGACTATGTATCCTTTTWCTATTGAATAAATATATAAGACTGGAAGCACTGCACAGTTTTTAAACTTTATACAAAATTCACAGAATCAATTCCATTTTTCTTTTATAATTTGTTCTTTATGACCTATGTAAAAAATATTTGCCAGCACAAGACCACAATTTAATCACATTTTGAAAGTGTTAGCTCTTAAAATTTAATTGGTGATTCATTTCAAATTAATTTAAATTTGGGCTATAATATAATAGTCATTCATGTGTTCCTTTCCTTTTCTTGAGATAGGATCTCACTGTATTGCCCAGGCTGGCTTCAAACTTCTGAGTTCAAGTGATTCTCCTTCCTTAGCCTCCTCATGTTCAGGAAAAAAGATGAAACTTGAAAGCATTATGTCAAGTAGGATAAACAAAATTCAGAAAGTCAAGAGTCATATGTTTTTTTTCTCAGACATAGAAAAAGGAAGAAAACGGGAAAAGGATCTCATGAAAATCAAAGGGAGAATAATCTAATAGATGAAAAGGACCAGGGAAAGGGCACAAGGGAGAGAAGAGAGAAAAACTGGGAAACAATATTGATCAACTTCTATCATTTCTATTTGCAGGTGTGACTATGTGACAACAAATCTCACTATTATATATAATGATGATGAACTAATAAAAATACAGAATAAAGAAACATTTTCACATACTGTTTTAAAATATAAAGGGAACAATTTTTAAGACATTAGCATGAACCAATAATCTTTAATGAATTATTGAATTTTTTAAAAAAATACCATCTCTTCTGCATTTGAGGGATATTCATCTGAAAAAAATTCTCCCATATTTCTATATCAGAAGACACAAATTTTGTAACAATGTTAAGCACTTAATAGTTGATATTTCCTTTTTACATTCCCAGCAAAACTGTAGAGAGATATCCTGGATATTTCAGGATTCAATAGAGATCTATTTTAAACCAGAATTCCATTAAGCAGTGTGAAAACTGAAGTGGTTTAGAGTATCAAGTAGGGGCAGACACCAGCATCCAAGCTTGATGATAACAAGAAGAGAAGATTTGGTACTCAAGTAATCAAATACTCTCTACTTCAAATGTTATTGGGGGGCACTTTAGCAAAGTCATTGCTACTAGCTTTCAACTCATGTATTTTATTACTTGATTGGCTCACTGGAAATATCAGGCTCTTCTTTGGACAAGGGTTTCTTATCTATAGATCATAACATCTMTTATCTATTGATCATAAATAAATTCCAACATTTCCTCTAGTTTCACAACTTACTTACACTTTGGTTTATCTGTGTCTGTTCATTTCAGGGCACAACCATAATAGTATCACTGACATCTGTGCTACATGACAGCAAAGAATTCCCTAACCCAGAGAAATTTGACCCTGGCCATTTCCTGGATGAGAGTGGCAAATTCAAGAAGAGTGATTACTTCATGCCTTTCTCAACAGGTAATAGAAATTATTTCCACTGGTACTTCTGGGGAAAAAACATGTTCATGGGAGCAAGGTAAACTTGCACAAAGCTTGTTTTGGGATTGGTAGACACATTCTTTGCCCATGATCAGGAGCAACACTTTCAGTGTCTGTGCACTTTCCCAGATAGGATACTTCGTTACTGAGTCAGACTAATTGGCCTTGGGGAATTGACTTAGTTTTTTCAAAGTAAGAAAACTACAGACAGGGTAGATTGAGTTATGTCTCAAGATACATGACTGCATTTCCCAGAACTCTTTCTAGAAGATTATATTCATCTCCACTGTCTTCCACTGCCCTAATAAAGAATATAACTCCACAACTTTGTTGAATGTCATACAAGTKGTGACTCTTATGCCCTTGCTGAGCTGTTGGAATGCAAATATCCACAAATACAGAAGGGGCCGCCAAGGGACCCACACCCTGGTTAGCCAAACAGATGAATAAAGAGATTGTTGTAATCCACTATGACTTGTGGTTTACAACATAGTGGATTGTTGTAATCCACTATGACTAGTGATTGGCTGTTCCTGATAGCAAAGGAAGAACTACATCTTTCCTGTTCTCTCATACCACATAGTGAGACATAAAATAGATTTAATATTCCCTTATAAGAATGGCAGGGAATTTTAAGAGAGACAGTAAGTCATAGGAGTAGGAAACTTGCTCTTGATCAAGGATGCCAGAGCTTTCTGACTGGTAAATGAGGGTYAGCAAACTGTAGAACAGATTATCCTTTAAAGGCACAAGAGCACCTTTATCTTCCTACATCTGGTTCCTCCTTTGGATACAGAGCCCTTCATACCCAAACTGTATGCCGAGYCTCTGGCMTATCATTGTCTAAATTTATTMTTTGGCTCTTCAAGCTTACTTTTAGGTCTTTCACTGTAGCTACAAATATGACAAGGATTGAGCCCTGCCTTAATGGAACTCTTATTTCAGAACACTAGAAAAATAGAAAGTAATAATTCAAATAATCTATGTTTCATCGCTGTCTAAAACCAAAGAAGATGAGAATTATTGTCTGGAAGAATCATAAAGARTATAATTGGAAAATGACATTTGATCTAAGATCAGAAAGAAATATGAGAAGTGCATCCTATTCAAAAGGAATAGCATGAGATAAAGCTTGAAACTGTATTGTATGTTTTAGGCTGATAAGACTAAACAGATCTGATAAATGGGAGGAAAGATCATGGAACATCAGACTTGGAACAGGGAACACAAGTAATGAGTATGTGTTTCTGGAAAACGATTGAAAGGAACATGAAATTTCAAAACAACAACAACTAAAAACCAAACCATTTTAATGTTGGAATGGTTAGTAAAGTTCTTTGAGTTCAGCTAATAAGCATAAACCAATAAATATTGGTTGAATAAGTTGTGCTGATAAAATATTAGAAGGATAGCAAGTGTGACCTTCAGTCTAATCAACTTTTGCTCTTTGTCCATCCATCAATCCATCCATCCATCCAATCTATCCATCCATTCATCCATTCATCTAATCATTCATCAAATAGTGACTCTGTATTCTTCCGTTGCAAGTCAGAAATATACTGTTCAAGGAGTATTTATCCTCTCCCTCTTGGTTATTTTCAGGAAAACGAATGTGTGCAGGAGAAAGCCTGGCCCGGATGGAACTGTTTTTATTTGTGACCACCATTTTACAGAACTTTCACCTGAAATCTGTGGTTGACCTAAAGGATCTTGACATCACTCCCGTTACCAGGGGATTTGCCTCTGTGCCACCCAAATACCAGCTTTGCTTTGTTCCCGTCTGAAGAAGAGCAGTCTGTCTGCCTACTGCTGTCATCTGGAATTTCCTCTTTGGGGCATGCTCCACCTCSTTCCCTATCAGGCATGCCTTCTCTGATCTACTTCTCACCACCTTATTTCTTTGAAATCCAGTGAATACTAAACCCCCATTACAGAGAATTTCCTCAGTTTTCACTAATAATGCATGCTTCCTGTTTACGTATGTAACACTTGCATTAGCTATTCTGTATTTTAACACTCTTGTGAGTTTTTCCTATGGCATCACTGTTAAATCCGCGCCCCCCCAAAAAAACTGGGAGAAAATTATGTGAAGTGAAATAAACCACACACAACAAGATAAACACCACATGATTTTTACTTTTATGTGTAATACAAAAAAGTTACACATTTATAATAGTGATAAGTATTGGTTACTAGAATGTGGAAAGGGGTGACAGTGTGAGTGAATGGGGAAAGAGAAGTTGGTTAAAGGATACAAAGTTTTATGTAGACAGGAGGAATGAGTTCTAATGATCTCTTGCTGAACATGGTAACTATAGTTAACAACAATGCCTTGCATATTTYATAATAACTAAAATGGGAGATATTAAACATACTCCCCATAAAGAAAGTTCAAGGGTATGAGATAATGACCATGTTAATGAGCCTGATTTAATTAACCTTCCATGCATACATGTATCACATTATCAAAATGTACCCCACAAATACATATGATTACTACTTGTGAACAACAACAACAAAAAAGGAAGTAGATTAAAAACAAAAAGTGCAAATGAAAACTACATTTTATCCATTTTTATCACTCTTTATTGGTAAATGAAAATATATTAATCAAGTAGTGACAAAATGTGCAGAACAAAAGGGAGTCTGACATTCAGAAAGTCAATTTCTCAATGTCTACTATTAATATCTTACTAAAATTTGTAATCTTCCTTTCACCACTACCTTCCATCATTTATCTTCTAATTCCCCTTACTCTGCTTTTGCACTTTGCATGCTTTTCTTTTTCTTTTTTTACTTATACTTTCTCATAAACCTATGAGATAGATCATATTTGTATTAGTTACCACTACTGCCTTAACAAATTACCACAAATATAATAACTCAAAACAATAGAGATTAAAAGTCTTATAATTCTGGGGTTCAAAGGTCCAGTATCATCTCCCTTGGATTAAGATGATTCTACCAGTGTGGATGATTCCTTTGGAGGCTCTAGGGGAGATTCCATTTCCCTGATTTTTTCATCTTGTAGAGGCTGCCAGAATCCTTTGGCTTGTGAGTCCTTTGTCACATCAATTCAACCTCAGCCATCACATCTGCCCTTTCCCATGCCCTTGGTGATTACATTGGCTCCATCCAGATCATCCAGTAGAATATATGCATGCCATGGTCCTTGATATTTCTGAGTCTGCAAGGCACTCTGACAAATATTGAGTTTAATAAAAATCCCTCTTTCATTCACCTTGCTACAAAGTAGTACTCCTGTTGCTTAAATCCTAAACCACAGAGCAATGAGGAATGCAGACTTCTTCTAATCTATCATCTTAAATCTTAGCTTATTTTATATTTCATATATCATTAAAATCCAATAAATAAATGAATTAATCTCTGTATTTAAGGGCCTACSAGATATTGCCATACTTTGTTTCTTTTTACAGAAAGTTAATTTAGAATATATTTATATCTTTTTATWTATTTAGGATTAGTCTACCAATCTTCATTATTTCCTGCATATCAAAACTAAAATCTTATACTATTTTTTTCATTCYAGTCAGAATGGCAATTATCAAGAGTACAATTAATAATAAATGTTGGTGAGGATATGGGRGAAATGGTACACTCATACATTGCTGGTGAGACTGCAAATTTGTGCAACCACTCTGGAAAGCAGTATGGAAATTTCCTAGAAAACTTGGAATGGAAYYACCATTTGACCTAATTATCTTGCTCCTTGCATATACCCAAAGGAATTAAAATAAACATACTATAGTGGCATAGTCACATCAATATTTGAAGCTCAATTCTTACTAGCTTAGCTAAGGAGCCAACTTAGGTGCCCTTCAACAGACAAATGGCTAAAGAGGATGTGGTATATATATACACAATGA